AACCAAGGTCCGATCTGACTCAACCAGTCTAACACTGGTCCTGTTTCACCAACATTATTATTTAGAAATACGGAGGTTTATAAGTAACAGAACAGTAAAAAATGTCAGAAGTACTTGGCTCTTGGGGTTAACAGGAAAAAGAACTACTGTGTGTTTTTTTGACTTTTAGCAGAGTTTTGGTACCACTTGATGTTTTAAACAATATGTATGATTAGTTTGATCCCAAAATAATCTGCCTGTCATATGGTAACAACTATAATTTTTTAAAAATGAAATGTTAACAGTAATAGTAATTATGATTACCACTACAGGTAATTTTTCCTCTGTTTACTATTCTCTGTTTTCATTAATTTCTACTATGAGCAATTATTACAATTTAATGCAAAAAATATATAAAATAAACTTAAAGTTTTAAATCCTATATAATAAAAGCATAGTATGCAATTGTCCCCTCAACTGGAGTTCAACCAGGGGGCGTGCTGGCCTGGGGAAGGGAGGGAGGCCCTGGCACTGGCAGGTGGCCAGGGGAAGGGAGGTAGTACCTGGCTGGCAGCTGGCAGCCAGCAGCTTGCTAGGGACCCTCCTAGTGCACGAATTTCATGCACTGGGCCTCTAGTAACAATATAAAAATCTGCCCATTCAAAAAATAAAAAATCCCTCTGATCTGTGTTTCCCCAAACTTTTTCAGCTTCAATTAGGATGCAGGAGCCAAGGAGGGGGGACAATATTTTCAGGGAGGCAGAGTAGATGAGAGAAATGTTTTTGTGATTCCCAGGCACCTAACTATAGGGATGCTACCCCCACACCCCTCTGAAGCCAATTAATCTCCCCTCCAATTTCCTCTTTCACCCCTACCTAACAAACCAACACAAAATATTTTTCCCAAATAACTTCACTCTCATTATACCTTCCAATGCTGTCCATGTATGAGGATGTGTTTCTTGGCAATGTCCACTCTATTCCAAGCCATTGCCAGATTTAATTGTTCAGATGCTGATAAATTTGTGCCTGGAGTAACAGAAAGGAACAATCATATATTATATTTAAAATGTCAACATATGAAGCACACAGTGTCACTGAATATAAAAACAGGAAGTAAGAAACAGGTGTAACCCTATCAGACACTCACCTTTTAGCAGAGCTGTTAGAATTGCTAGGTCAAGATCTTGCAACTCCTCAGAATCAGCCTCAAATATGATAATCTATAACAGTTGAAAAACAGAAAGCCATACATTTTGAAAACTAGCAAAGAAATGCTTTCAAGAGTACCCACAAAATTCATGCTCAAGCTAATGAATTGAATAAAACAATCTCCATTAATCACTCAGAGTTAAAATATTTACTTATAGAAGAGAAAATGTCTATGTAGGGTAATGGAGAATTGTGGGCATGCATGGGGAAAAAACAACTAAAAGATCCATGTTTCCTAGAGGAAACTTATATAAAAGAACATTACTACATTAATTTACTGTACACGTGCTATAAAGAAAAGAAACTCAGTTCAGTTCCTTGTGTAAAGGAAATCATTCCTCATTTTAAAGGAATACCAAATGAGATCCTTTTGTTCACTTCGCCTTAGAAACTAAACTAAGACTTCTGCTTTTTAATGACAAGTGAATCCTAAAGGATTTGCCATAAAATAAATGAGGCAATTACAATGCACCCAATGAGCAAGTACAGTGGACAGCACAGGCTGCCATCACAATGTCAAAGTGTCCCGTGCATCCCAGCATGCGACTAATGTTTTCAAGACAAATAAGGACATTATTTATTAATATACAAGGTCTCCTGATATTAATGAATGTATCTCAGTCTTTCCAAATGAAAATATATTTTAGACACTGGGGGGTAGGGGAGGCCAGGGGTTTGTCAAGGGCAGGGGGGAAAAGGAGACATATGTAATACTCTTTGTAATACTTTAAGCAATAAAACAATTAAAAATAAAAATAAAAGAAAATATATTTTATATAGTAGAGGGGGCTGTTCAACAAAAGAGCCTAGATTGGCAAGTTCTAGGCCTACATATGCCACTAACTAGTCAAACTTGGGTCAACATCTTCTGACCACTGTATCTGAGGTTGCTCACCCACATAATGAGAGGAACCCTAACCTCCAAGGTCTCATGAAGACAGAAAAACTATGCTTCTACAATTCAGACACTGGTTCCCTCCACCTTACAGTCCCTCTGTGTGCATGAGTAACATCAGACTTCAATTACAAAGGAGCTGAGAGCCTAATTCCTGTAATGTGCAAACCCTTAGTTGCCTTCTCTAGTTCCCTCTTGGTATTATGCCACCGCTCATCGGTAATTTTCCTTGATGACGGGAAGAGGCAAATATAAGTGTGAGCTCTTTAGCATGTCCTTTTCTTAAAAAGTGTATAAAATTTCAACTCAGAGCTCAAGTTTCAACTCTACTACTTCATAACTTCATACTCTGAGTAAATCACTTAATTTCTGTAGGCTTCAGCTCCGTCTGAAACTGAAATAAACAATCACTGCCACATTGAACTCACTTATGGGGCTATTTGAGGTGAAATACATATCTGAAAGCACTCTGCTAATTATAGTCATGGTTGTTACTTTTGTTGTTATTAGAACAACGACAACCCCAGGGCTTTTTCACATATGTTTAGCCATGCTTTGTCTAGCCAGAACTTGTTCAATTGGTTTTTATAAGGCCAGGTGCTAAAAGATGATAAAAATCTTGTATAATTAGACCCAGTCTTCAAATTCTGGAAAGATCACAGTAAATCATAACATATCTGCATATTTACCGTAATTGTCAGCTTCATATTATCCAATCATTGAAAAAAAATTTCATCAAAGTACCCTAAAACACTAAAGTATTTTCCTGAATCTATATTATATTCTCAGCTCATAGCGTTTAGACTCCGTTTTCTATCCCAAAGTATATGGTCACATTTCCCACTGCCAGTGGGTCCTTATGATCTCCTGCAGGATTTACTCAAGATGCCCAATGAAGTCCTCTAGCCCAACAGACTGGGGATCACTTAAGACAGGAAGCTGTTCCTTTAACCACTGAAAAGATGTATGTGCAATTTCCTCTAAATTAGTAACTTTTATGTACTACTGCCATGCTAAGTGCTTTTTCCTAAATTCCTTGGAAATTTGAAACAGGGAGTGCAGGGTTAAGAAGCCAGGTTACTCAACGAAGGGTCAAGTTGTGTAGACTTACATACAAAGTTAAAAGTGAAAAACTCCATACTTTTAAAAATTATAAAAATAAATAGTACAATTGTTAAAAATTAGCATTTTTAAGTTGATTGAGTCATCACTTCATCATACTCACAGAATCCCTGTGTACCATGCACTGCATTAGAATCTGAAAAAGGTGCTTGGTCTGTTTAAGACTGAAGTTGAAAGTGTCCTGAATCATGCAGATGATCTCCTCCTTCACCTGAGGACGGAGGGTCCTGGGAGAAAGAGAAGTGGCTGGGACTTGACACAATGTAGAGAAGGGAACAGTCAGCAACATTAGTACAAGAAAACCAAGCGTCTGCCTGACCTGACCGAGAGGCTTCTATGGACAGTTCTGCCCAGGAAGAAAATGAGCAGGAAGCAAAGAGAGGCAGCGGCACCAGAAATCTGAATTTGAAAATGAGAACAGACTGCTCGGCCATGATCCTGGAAAGACTAAACTTGGGCAAGGTTCTCGAGCTGGTAGATTTCCAGGAGGCCATCAATCTTCAGAAGTTATGGACATAGTATTCTCAAAAGGATCTGAAACTCCAAAAAGTTCAAGAACCGCTCATAGAGGGTGACTTTAGGAAAGGGAAAGGTGTGAAAGGACAAGGAAGAGGGTGGAGGGAGAAAGCAGAGAGCCGAGGGCTGAAAAGGAGATCAACTGTAAGGAAATAATCGTCCGAAAGCAGTTATAGCATAAGCATGAGAGTTTATTAAGTAAATTAGCAGGATCTATATTTTAGTTCATTAGCACTTTATTTACTAAATGTCATGCTTTTGAAATGGGAAAAACCACAGTGGATATAGGGATGGCTAGAGAAAAATCACCTCCTTATTTAAAAGGGGGGAAAGAGCCAGGCCAGCGTTCAGTGGTTGAGCGTCAACCTATGAACGAGGAGGTTACAGTTCAATTTCCAGTCAGGGCACATGCTTGAGTTGTGGCTCAATCCCCAGGGTAGGGCATACAGGAAGCAGCTGATCAATGATTCTCTCTCATCATTGATGTTCCTATCTCTCTCACCTTTCCCTTCCTCTATGAAATTAATAAAAATGTATTTTAAAAATAATAATATAAATAAATAAATAAATAAATGGGGGGAAAGAATTAAAAACTCAAATAAGCACAAAATACATTATATAAATGTCAGAACGTTAATTTCTCCAATTCCTGCTATTTTCTTTGAAGGTGATCTTCTCACAATGGTTTCCTCACTCACTGCAGAATTTTTTAGCCTTAATGGCCATTTGCTGAAGCATCTCCTCCCTCACTCTCCCTGCAAATGCTTTCCCCAGGAGCTGACAAGCCTCACGCGTACCTTAGAGGCAGGTCATTCTTCAGCTCAGGGAAACAGCAACTTGCGTCACTGGAGGGCATTTTAATTGATAAATACAAAAATCACTGAAAAATGAATTCCAGTCTCCACCTCTGCCCTCCAAGGATATCCGGCCCGCATGAGAGCAGAGCTTAAAGAACTAAAATGAAGGGACAGTCACGGCAGTTTCTGAGGTGAGAGCCAACCACTTACCCTTCATCTGCTAAGTGTTTGTGGGTGAAGGCCAGGAGGTCGGCCGCCCTGCCAGTGCCTTCACACACCACCACCGGGTGTTTGTCTTTCACGGTCTCCCACACCGAGAGGATGACATTGGGACCTCCTTCCACCACCAGCCCCACCATGGGCACGCCTTGTCTTGAGCCTATTTCAGATGGCAAACAATACAAAACTGTTACACAGCAACCCTATCTCGGCCGACCAGCCATTCTGATTTCCACACAATTGGAAATGTCACCACAGACATCTGTTACCTGTTCTACCCCCTCTCTCTTTATGACTCAGGCTTGCGAAGTCCAAGATAAGCAGAAGCTTGGACGTTAAATAAACATAGGATCTTCAAGCTTTCTCTGGTTTAAAAAAAAATAGCTAAAGGCTTTCAATAATTTTTTTTTAAATAAATAGTCTTCAAGAAACTTTTAACTTTTTATAGTGGAAAATTTCAAATCTATCTGAAAGAAAGCAGAATAATATAATGGATCCCAATATACCCATCATTCATCTTCAAAAATGATCAACATTTTGCCAATTCAATCAACTTTTAATGGTGGTTATTTCTATGAACAAGATGGAAAGGATAACACTCAAAGACTATTACATTTCAATTTATTACATTTTTCACTGTTTGAATGTCTTATCATGACTGTATACTAGTATTACTTTATTATATTCTTTTTTGAAAATATTAAGTCAACAAAAATTATGAAATAAAGTGCATAGAATGATCCTATTTATATTTTTAGAACCATATACATGGGTATATACAGGATATCCCCAAAAATGTAACACACTTTTACATTTTGAAAATGAAATGCATTTTAATAAACACCGCCTTTATAATTATTCAAAGTGTGTATACATTATTGGGGACACCCAAATACAGTATTTCATCTCTAATTAAAAACTCCTGGAACAGCCATCCCAGGAAAGGGCCGCCTCATCATCAAGGGTTGGATTATGGAGAGATGCCACCTTCTGCTGCCCTGAACAAAAAGTCTCCATTTCTCCAGGCAGCATCCAGCCCCCCCGCCTCCCTGCAAGGATTCCCATCTCTCCACTCAGGGATGCTCACCAAATGTGGCCCTCGCCCATCTCTCCCTCGTGCAGATACTATCAAAATGGCCATCTCAAAGCACCACTGTGAGCGGACACTGCATGGATACCTTCTATGGTTCCTATTTCTAAAAGCTCTGATTTCAACCTCTTCCCTGTCTGAGGCAACCCTACCCACATATGAAATGTCATCTCCCCTGAGTATCAAAGTTCATATCCCCGGTCTTCTCAGTCAGTCTCCTTCCTGCTCTTCAGCCAATCCCATTCCCTCCTTTTTTCCTCCATGCATCCAACCCTAAGGACTCCGGGACGCTATGCTAAAGTCCCCACTCTTCCACAAAGCCTCCCCTGTCTATACTGTCCCCATAAAATACTATATATTTTTTCCTTTCTCCCAACTGTCACGCACAGCTCTGTACCACCGCACATCCTGTCTTCTTCTGGTTGGGGGCTCACACACATTAAGGCAGGGGCTGCCTTGGACCCCTCCACTCTATACAGATGACAGCGGAGCGCCAGCTCCACAGCAGGACCTGTTGGCTGACCCCCTGTGGTACTCACCGCTGTGTATTTTCTGCAGAGAGAGGTACTTTTCCAGGTTCCTCCTGAGCTTCATCTCGTTCCCATACTTGCCCACAGTCCCGTCATCGGACAGGATGAAGTAGGAATGCATGCTGTTGAGTGTGGTGAGCTTGCTGAGGGGGTTCCCCAGGGTCTGGTACAGGCACACCACCTGCAAGGACAAGGGAGGGTCAGACCTCAAGGTCCTTCCCTCAGTTCAGCTGCTCTAAAGGCCTGTCTCTCTGTACTATAGAGGTTCTTGTTGAGATTAAAAAAGCACAACTTGCTACCAAGAACAGGGCTTTTCAAGCTATCTGTGGGGAAGGATCAATATGCGTGTGTTTTAATATTCCAATTTTTTATTGACTGATATGTTCTACTAAATGTGACTAGTATGCAGTTCTGTTCATGAGACTCAACGATGCAAGTTCAGTAACACGGGCACACCCCTCGCTCAGCAAGGTAAGCCCACTGACCATGTGCTTGGATGTCACAGCACTGCCACGTTGCTAAAAATGGTTTTGGGTATTTCTTTTCAATTTCAGTACTTACTTTGCTTCAGAAGAATGGAAAAAGGTTCAAGAATCTGCATCTTTACACAGATTACATCACTGTCCAGAAAATATGCCTTTAGAAGATCTATTCCAGAATAATATTTTGACAGTAATTTTTTTTCTAGTATTCCAAATGAGATGAGGAGTAGCAGACAACCAAATGACAATTCATTCTATATAAAACATCCAGATCTTTAACATTTACTAACTCGTCCTTACACCGTTCCCATTCATCTTTTTCTGAGATGAAAGGAAAGGATTTGGAATTGGAGAGCCCAAACTTAAGTCCAGACTCTTCTAACTAATTCTAGGTAAACCCTACCTCCTTTCTGAGACTGATTTTCTTCATGTATAAATGAAGATGGCAAGAATTTCTACATCAAAGGGTTTCTGTGAGACTTAAAAGAAATAATGAATATAAAAAGCACTATAGCCCTGATCGGTTTGGCTCAGTGGACAAAGCATCGGCCCGGGGACTGAAGGGTCCCAGGTTCAATTCCAGTCAAGGGCATGTACCTTGGTTGCGGGCACATCCCCAGTAGGGGGTGTGCAGGAGGCAGCTGATCAATGTTTGTAACTCTCTATCTCTCTCCCTTCCTCTCTGTAAAAAAATCAATAAAATAAATTTTTTAAAAAAGCACTATAAGCTTTACAAACATTATTCCTAAAAAGTTACCTTTATCATTTCAAAAGGTAACACTAACACCAGAAACAAAGAGCAAATGATTGACAGACTTAATATATATATTTTATTTATGGAATGATCATAAATGATCATAATGGCTGATAATAAAATGTTTTTCTCTATGGAGTGTTCAATCTAATAAATGAAGAAAGAACACTATAATATATATAAGCATTTTGCAACCCTATTGAAATAATGAATGTAGGCAATGACATCATAAAACAAGATATCGTATGTTACCAGGGAAGGACACATCTCCTCCTGTGGTATAAACGTGAACAAATAGAACCTGAATCTGATTATATCTTTGGATCAAACTACCAATTTACAGGAGACAGAGAAACAGACTAAACCCTTCTATAAGAGGTTAAATCTGGAAAGTCCAAATTGTGGGAAACTCTTCAGGACAAATGACCCAGTGTCTTCAACAAATAAATTGACCAAAAAAAAGGAGATGGAGGGGAAAATCTTTATATTAAAGGTTATTTAAAGTGACTCAATTAAACAAATAAGTGACTCAAAGACATATCAACCCATCACAATCAAGGGACCTTTTTTGGATAATGAAATCAAATAACTTAAAAATTATGAAACTATCAGAAACTTGAACACAGACTGGATATTTTATGATATTCAGGAATTATTGTTAATTGTTAGGTATGATCATGGCAATGTAACTTCTATATTTTTAATTGTCCACATATTTTAGAAATACCTATTACAATCTTTACCAATGAAATTATTTAATGTCAGGAATTTGCTTCAAAATAATAGAGGGAGGAGGTGTGGAGTGGATAAGGAAATAGATGAAATAAAATTGACTATCAGTTCATAAGTTGAAGCCAGGAGATGGGAATACAGGAGTTCATTATTCTAATCTATCTACTCTTTAATATATTTAAATTTTCCAAAATGGAGGTTAAAATAAACCATAAGCATATCTATATTCATTGACATAGAAAAATAAAGTTAATTATTTTTTGTGCTAAATAATAGTTATGCTAAACAGTTAAGCTGAAAAACAGATTCACAGTAGTAGGTTTCTATTATTACTTATTTTACATACAAACTTTTTTTTACTATACATATGCACATATATACATATGGAATAATACACACCAAGACATTAATAGGAGTTATCTTTCTTCTTCAGACCTTTTGTAATATCTGAGATTCTTACCAAAAATATCCACTAGTCATAAACCTAATTAGACAAGTCTATTCCTTTTAGAAAAACAAACTAATGGAACCAAAGAATCAATACACAGGAATGAATGAAGCAGAGAATAGTGATAAGAGAAGAGAAGGGCCAAATCATGATGTTACTTATTTCGCTACATGTACGCCACAGCAAGAAGCTTGGCTATTACTCCACGTGAGACCGGATCCACTGAAGGATTTTTCAGAGTAACATGATCTAGTCTATATTTTAGAAGAATCATCCTGGCTACTGTGTTTAGAATAGACTGTAATAACAGACAAGAATGAAAGTAGGGAAGGCTTTTATATTCATCCAGGTGACAGAAAATGGTAGCTTTGGGCCTGCTCAGTAACAGAAGAGGTCAGATTCTGGATATATTTTTAAACTAAAGCTGAGATAATTTACTGAACAATCGGGTTTGAGGCATGAAACAGAGATCATTCCACAATGAGTCCAAGGTTTTTTCCTTGACCAACTGCAGAGATGGGCTTGTCATTTTCAAAGATAGGATAAGGGAGGCAGTAGGAAGTCAGGAGTTGGTTTTGAATATTTACATTCCAGATGTCCATTGGATACACAGATATAGAGCTAAGCTGGCAATCGGATACATGTCCATTTCCTTTTATTGTGAAAGGATCGTCTACTTACATCTTTTCCAATAAGATCCCTCTGGTTCTCAATGACACCCCATGGAGGGATTCCAACTGTCCAGATTTTTCTCAAGCACTGGGAGAAATGTGCTTTCAAGGCTTCCCCAACATGTTTGGACACTCCTATGAACAAGCAGTTTAGAAGTTAAGCTTTAACTCACAAATCAGGAAAAAACACCATGAGTCCCAGAAAAAGACAAACTGTACAAAAGGCCATTTTAGGGAAAGTTGTTGACACAGTGGAATTAGTTTCTGTATCTTGGCTTCCTCTACTCCCTCTTGACACCTCTTATTCCTCTCACTGACCTCTTTACCTGTACAGTGCTCCTCTCCCTATGAGCAGTTTCTGCTCACCACCTCAGTCACGTTATGCCCCCACACTTGTCTGACCAGAATGTCCTGCAAGCCCAGCCCCGAAATCATAAATTCTCTAAGGATTTTTTCTTCTCTAACCTTCTGCAATGTCCCTGTAAAACACTCTTCAGATCGGTCCCGGGCTTCATTGAGGCAAGTTATTTTAATAGTTTTATATACACAAAGATTCCAGAGCTAATCTATAATACTAAAAGCATAATATGCTAATTAGACCAGACACCCTTCCGGATGACCTTCTGGACTAAGCCAGGGCTGCGAGGGAATCCCGGGTCCCAGGTGCCAGAAGGAAGCCGGTGCCGGCAGCCGGGGAAAGGAAGGCCTACTCTTGCATGAATTTCGTGCATTGGGCCTCTAGTACATTAATGTTTGCCCTTCTGGGAGGGAATTTCTATAAACTCCCTACTCCCACACACCTTCAGCCTCTCCTACTATCAACAACCCCCACCAGAGTGATACATTTATTACAATTAATGAACCTACATTGACACATCAAAATCACCCAAAATCCATAGTTGACATAAGAGTTCAGTTTTGGTGTTGCACACTCTATGGTGGGGAACCTTTTTACTGCCAAGGGCCATTTGGATATTTATAACATTATTCAAGAGCCATACCAAATTATCAATTTAAAAATTAGACCGCTAGCCCTAGCTGGTTTGGCTCAGTGGATAAAGCATCAGCCTGTGGACTGAAGGGTCCCAGGTTTGATTCTGGTCAAGGGCACATGCCCAGGTTGTGGGCTTGATGCCCAGTGGGAAGCGTGCAGGAGGCAGCCGACCAGTGATTCTCTCGCATCATTGATGTTTCTATCTCTTTCTCCCTCTCCCTTCCTCTCTGAAATCAATAAAAACATATATTTAAAACAATTAGACTGCTATATTTCTTCCAACATTTAATTAACTCACCCATAATGCTTTGCTAGGGCCAGACCAAATGATTTCAAGGGCTTATACAGCCCGTGGGCCGGACATTCCCCACCTCTGCTCTTTGGGTTTAGACAAACGTATAAATGATATGTAGTCATCATTATAGTGTCACACAGTGTTTTCACTGCCCTAAACATCCTCTTTCCGCCTATGCACTCCAGCCTTCTCCTATCCCCAATCTAACCCCTGGCATCCACTGATCTTTTCACTGTCTTCATAGTTTTTCCAGAATGTCACATAGTTGGAATTACACAGTATATAGCCTCTTGAGATTGGCTTCATCTGACTTTTAATCACAACACCGCATTGCACCACTTATTTATCCTATGTATAGTACTGATTCTGTATATGACATTAGCACAGAAAAAAGATAATAAGCTGCACATTGCATGTACCTAAATCATTTCCTTCCCCTCCAACCCATCTTTATTTATTTTGTTGTTGTTGCTAATCCTCACCTGAAGATATTTTTCCATTGACTTTTAAAGAGAGTGGAAGGGAAGGGGAGAGACAGAAAGAGAGAAACATTGAATAAGAGAGACACATCAATTGGTTGCCTCCCACACAAGTCCCAGGCGGGGCCAGGATGGAGCCTGCAACCGGGGTAAGTGTCCTTGACCAGGAATTGAACCTGAGACCCTTCAGTCCGTGGGCTGACTCTCGATCCACTGAGCCAAACTGGCCAGGGCTCCAACCCATCACTTGCACTTCTCCCAGAGCCATTGTCTAGAATCAGTTCTAGACCACAGACTCACATCAGTATCAACTGTGGAGCCATCCACCACAATAGATACCTGGATTTCATAAATTTGGCATGGGTTACCAGCATTGTGGTGTGGGAGGAGGGGAGTGGTGGTGGTGGTGAATCAGCAACCCACATGTGATCCTAGCACATATTGTTTGTTGAGACTCTGTAGAAGCAGATATGACTATGCCATTCCCTATTTATTCTCCTATTCAAAATCCTTTGAAGGCTCCTGCTATTTGGAGAATAAAATCTCAGCCCATCAGCATGGCACCCAATCTGGCTCCAGTTTCTCTTTCTGTCCCTGCCTCTGCCATATGGCACATCCAGCCGGTGGCCTGATCACCTTTTTCTACATATGCCTTCATCTCCAGCTGTGTGCCTAGCCCAGATCTGACACCTCTATCTAGACTGCCTCTTCTTACTCTCTCACAAGGCTAACACAAAGTGCTATCTATACCCTTCTCCAACCTTCCCAGGTGCCCTCAGTTGGAGCTGGAATTTATCTCTCTTCCTTTTATTCTCAAACACTTTCTTTATATCTCAACAATGATCCTCCCAGCATCAGTTTTTAGTTAGTTGCGTACTATTTGCTTATTGTTACAACCTACCAATCACTAATCCCAGAGCCCATATCTTCCCCATCTTTCACCCACAGCATCTATCCTACTGCTTTATAAGTAGCAGATTCTTAAAGCTTGTGGAATTCAATTTAAGCAAATGTCAAAAATTCACACCAAGTAATGTTCAACTGTAGTTGAGAAGCATCTCAAGCATAGGCGTAAGTTCATAAGCGGAGCTTCTTAAATGTAAATGTGCATAAGAATCGTCTGGGGATGTTGTCGAAATGCAGATCCTGATCCTGCCAGGCTAGGAGGAGCCCAGCAAGCTCCCAGGGGATGCTGATGCTGCTTGAGTAAGTCAAGTCCTAGACGGGAGATGTGGTTGAATCAGATCTGACCCTGATTATTTTGTTTTGTTTTGAGAGAGATCTATTTGTTGCAACTACTTATTTATGTATTCATTGGTTGATTCTTATATGTGCCCTGACCACACATTGAACCCCAAACCTTGGAATATCAGGATGACTAGCCAACTGAATACCAAGCCAGGGGGAACCTAGTTATTGTTTAAGGAAGCTCCAAGTATGTCTCATTTCTCATTTCTTTGTTCATACAAACTATTTCAATAGTTTCCCCACTCATATTTGTGTTCCTTAACTGGTCCTAACCTAAAATGTTGGCGGGGGCGGGGGGGGGAAGCGGGGGTGTTCCAAGTAAAACAAAGTACATAATGCATGATGCAGTTAGTTAGTCTTGCCCAAGTCTACCTTTTTCTGAACTCTGCAAAACTTCCCAACCCACCCCATTTGTACTGGAAATAAAATAAGTACTGTACAACGGACTAAGAACTCAGCCACATTCATTGTCTTCCAAGAACCTGAAACAATAATTATCTCAATAAAATGTACACGAAAAACAACCAGATTACCCATACATGACAAGCCAAATCCCTTGTTTTTATTTTGCTTTGTTTTCAACCATTTGCTTCCTTCATTCCTTTCAGTCAGAAGAAATGATTTGTTAAATCAGCATGTGTTGCTCAATGCCCGGCAGAATTATAGGCCCTGGCCTCTAGCTCACAAACAGGAAGAGGAGCTAATACACAGACTCATTCCATACCTATACAGAAAAGCATAGAATGCTACAAGTGCTATAGGCAGTAAACACTATGGAGATTAAGAGACAAAAGTGAGTTGAGATAGAGAACGCTTCATGAGGATGTTGGCATCCAATGTAGCTCTTAAAGGATGGGCTGAAATTAATAGGCGACAATGGCTAAGACCAATCAAAATTAAAAATCAAGAGAGAAATAAAAGATGAAAAACCATATTGTGATACTGTGATTTATAAGAAATATATTCCTGACACAGAGCTCCTTAAACCCTTGGAAATTCTTAAGTGATGAGAGTGACAAAGGTATGTTAATGAGGTGACTTTTGAACTGCACCAAAGGATGGGGCTGTTTGCCAGGGGAACCAACCAAGCGTTTAGAGGCCTGGAACTTTCAGTTCCACCCCCTGACCTCCAGGGATGGTAGATTAATCCAATCAGCAATGGCCAATGATTCGACCAATCATGCCAATGTGACGAAGTCTCCATATAAACCAAATGGCCAGGGTTTAAAGAGCTTTCAGTGGGTAAACATGTGGAGAAGAGGGGAGGGCATGGAAGCTCTGTGCCCTTCCCACATACCTTGCCCTCTGCATCTCTTCCACCTGGCTATTCCTGAGTTATATTTTTTAATAATAAACTGGTAATCCAGGGAGTAAACTGGTTTCCTAAATTCTGTGATCCACTCTAGCAAATTAATTGAACCAAAGACGTGTGCCTTGGGCACCTCTGATTTACAGCCGGTTGGTCAGAACTATAGGTAACAACCTGGACCTATGCTGGGCATCTGAAGTGGAGACAGCCTTGTGGGTCTGAGCCATTCAGCCGTGGAATCTAGTGCTGTTTCCAGAGAGAGTGTCAGAATTGAGTTGAATTACGGGACACCCAGCTGGTGTCAAAGAATGTGTTGAGAAAGAACCCAGACCTCAGAACTGGTGCCAGAATCATAACGAGTGATTGTTAACAGAGGAGGCTTGTCAAGCGGCAAGTTCTCAACCCTGGCTGCACATTAGACACACTTATGAAGCTCCACCCTGAAAAACTCTAATGGGGGCCAAGTCTGTGCATCTGTATTTTTTAAAGCCCCCAAGGGAGTCTCTAATGTGAAGACAGTTCACAAATACTGAAGCGAAGGAGTAGGGTTAGAGGTTCAGAAGCTACTATATAAAGTCCCTGAATGTCAGATTTCAAGGAATATGAAAGAATCAGTGATGGAGACAGTGAGTGAAATGACAATCATGGAGTTAACTATCTCCCGTGACCAATACACTCCATGCCAATTGCTGCACGCCTCACTGATTTCCACTGCCTTGGAACTTGACCATGGTGAGGTTAGCTCATGTCCATGCCCACCCACCACATACCTGCGTGGATTCTATGTCCTTTTTAACCTCATCATAGTCTGAAACTCATTTTCCTTTTACCAGAAACTCTTACCCAACGTTATATAAAAATAGCGTATTTTAACAACAGTAAAAACACATTCCAGGAAAGGTCTAGGGTTCTGGGTTACTTTGCCAGTCACTATGCTTTTCATCTTTCTCCCTCATGCCACCACATCCCGGGAGCACTGCAGAGTGGACATGAGCTGCCATACTCCTTGATTCACAGTTAGAAAGAGGAATTGAAAAAAGATGTGTAATGAGGGAGTGTCCTTTACCGGTATTAATGCCTTCAGTTATTATCCACGCTCCCGTTGTCTCGGCAGCTTTGACCAGACCCTGGCTGAAGATCTCATTGAGTTTGGAGGGCATCTTGAAGTTCTGGATGCCACCGTGGACAGAGATCACCAGCTTTGGCAATTCCATCTTCCACTCTTTCAACATCAAATGTAACAGGTGATCCATCTTTGTATCATAAGAAGTTCTAATATACTGGGAGATAAGCACATACACATATGTACAAAATAGTGAGAAACACATGCCAGGTAATAATAAACACGTAGAAAGGCAATTAGAATAACCAAAACTTGAAAGGCAGGGTCTGAGATCTCTTCAAAAGTTCATCTTCACATAATGGAAATATTTACTCTGAAAGGAGCCCACACTCCCTTTCAGTTCTTTCTGGGAATTACAAGTCACAGTAGGAAGGCTTCCTCTGGTTTTCAAGGTTGGCCCACCAATGTTCTCAGAAGGTCTCCGGTGAGGCAGAAATACTTCAAAGTGGCAAAAAATCACTACTCCAGCAAACCGGCTTAAAAAGTTTTTAGAGTGGGCAGGAGGTAGGGGGGTAAGAGATCAACCAAAGGACTTGTATGCCTGCATATAACCATAACAAATGGACATAAGACACTGGGGGATAGGGGAGGCTAGGGGACTGTCTAGGGCTGGGGGAGGGGGGAATGGACACATATGTAATACCCTCTGTAATACTTTAAGCATAAATGGTTAGAGCATCCGCCTGCACATGCAAGGGTCATGGGTTTAATCCCCAGCTCTGGTTGGGGCGTATGCAGAAGGCATCCAATCAACGTATCTCTCTCACATCGATGTTTCTCTCTCCCCTCCTCCCGCCCTCCTTCCCTTCCACTCTCTCTAAAAATCAATGAAAAAAATATCCTCTGGTGAGGAGTAACAAAAATAAAACAAAACAATAAAGTTTTTAGAAATAAGTGAAACGGGATTTTTCATAAATGCTATGACTTGTAATTTACTTGACTATTTCACATATTTGCATAATTTAAATTAACACCTAGCTGGAGATGGGGAAGCACTTGGAATTCTTGCCTTCATCATTTTATGCTGCTTATTATTATTTCTCTCCTTTGTTAATATAACAAAGAGAAACTAATAAGCTTTCCAGTTTCCCAGGACGATCTTTTTTTTAAAAAAAAAATAGTTTATTTCAGAGAGGAATGGAGAGGGAGAGAGAGATAGAAACATCAATGATGAGAATCATTGATCGGCTGACTCCTGCATGCCCCCTACTGGGGATTGAACCCACCACCCGGGCATGTGCCCTTGACCAGAATCGAACCCAGAACCTTTCATTAGGCAGGCCACCACTCTATCCATTGAGCCAAACCAGCTAGGGCCACATTTAATTTCTTAGAAATTTTGCATTCTAACCATTTCCTTTATATATAATTATCCCAAAATAAATACTTTTTACAAAAGTGTCATATTTTTGATTAGCCAATGTAACTGAAAGAAAAGATGAGGAAGATCCAAACCAGTGGTAGCCCCAGAATCATTTCGCACTTTGCCCAAGGTTACAGTGTATGACTGGCTTTCTTTTTCCAGCAGAAGCAGCCACATACGGACCACTAAAATCATATTAAGACAAGTTGCCTTCCTCAAGCATAAGCCAACCAGCAGCAAGAATAAGTCAGATTTACAAGAAGAAAGCAAGGCAATAAAAAACATAAATTAGCCTGGCTGGTGTGGCTCAGTGTTTGAACATCAACCCATGAACAAGGAGGTCACAGTTCAATTCCCTGTCAGGGCTCATGCCCGAGTTGTGGGCTTGATCCCTAGTAGGGAGCATGCAGGAGGCAGCCGATTAATGATTCTCTCTCATCATTGATGTTTCTCTCTCTCTCCCTCTGAAATTAATAAAAATATATTTTTAAAAAATATAGGATATATTTTATCCATGAACACTTAAATTTACCACTTATATAGGTATAGCCGTCTTTTATTTACATTTGATTTATCCTTACTACTATAAAGGTATGATTTCATCATAGTGCATATGAGCAGCAACTAATTATGCTTATTTTCTACTAGAAGCCCGGTGCACAAAATTCATGCATGGCTGGGGGC